CCCCTTAAATAGATAGAATGTGGCTTTGGATATATGATTAAAAAAAATCCCATATACCTCAGAATTCTTTCTGCTTTAGGGGGACTATATAAACAACTAGGTGTCTTCTGCCAAGCCTTCCAGCGTTGTCAACATGCTCCCTGGTCTTGAGCAGGAATGAGGGGGGATGCCTATGAGACCTTTTGAGCAAACTGCAACCTATGTTCAGGTTTGAAAGAAGAGTCTAAAGAACCAGGGGGAGCTCAACAAAGGAACACACTGCAGCCTGAGACAAACAGCCAACTCCTGACAAAAACTCTCGGACTGCATTGGAAAATGGATTCTATGCAAGGCCTTGCGAGAAACGCCTTTGCAACCATACCAATAGTTCAATCTATCAAGGCATAGCATGAAGAAGGGGGAAAGAAGAGGAAGATTAGGAGCAACAACAGACCTAAAATCTATTCCTTCAACCCCAAGCCCTAAATCATTTTATGCAGCCGGAGCGTCCCAACAGACGCCTGCTTTGCGTCCAGCTGCAAGGCTTCCCAATGAAAGTCGAACAAAACATTGACCTCGGATCCATGTCTCCTGTGATGCTGACCGGGGAACTGGGCTTGGCATTTAAAAATTAGGGTTCAGCTTAAGTACATGTACCCCAGCGACCCTTGACATGAAACTATGGAGCCTACAAAATGGGAATAATGGAAAGGAACATGGAAACTACAGGGATGATAGGATTAGAGGGGTTATATAGGGGTTATATACGGATTATAGGGTATATATTGGGATCATATAGGGATAATGGAAAAGAAAATGGAAACTACTAGAAGGATGACATCTTAAGACATATCCAGATGGAACCGGTGGCCACTAAAATCACCTCGATGGCGCATGCCTGCGCAATACCTCCACCGTAAGGACCATAATACTAGCATGAATCAGATTACGCAGGAGTCACTACAAACTACTTAACAAGAAGACGTGCAAAACCTTAAAACCCAAAACCCTAAACTCAAAACCAGTAATTCTGAGACTGCTGAACGCAGCCATCTGCAAGCCCACAACTCTGAGGCGCATACTCCTTCCTATGCATTACGCCTTTCAAAACTTTCAAAAATAACTATACATGAGCTATAGCCTAAACTCCAAGTATCCCTCCCTAATATCCCCCATATTCTCCCCTAAATAACGCCCTATATACCCCCCCCTTCAAGCAGTGTAGACTATAGCTCACACATGGTCTCAACTGCTTGAAACCCCCATATCTGGCTGGCGGAGTCGCATGAGGATGAAGGCCGAAGCAAAAAGCCTAAGGGTTTCGGGTTTAGGGTTTGGGGCTTACTTACGGCTTACCCTAGGGCTCCCAGTTACCTAAATAATGGGAACTGAGTTCTACATACCCTATAGTTACGTAGCCCAGTAACCTACTATTTAGGTAACTGGAGCCCTAGGGCTAGAGATAGGGAGCTGCTATGAAGTGGTCAACGCAACAAAGCAGTATAAAAGCCGGGTTTCCATTTTATGTTCCATTGTCTTTTCCATTTGATTCTTCAGTACTGAGGGTAATATCGCTAAAGCCTGAACCGTCAATTGCAGTGTCATCTCATTTTCCATTTTCTTGTCCAGGGTCCAGTGAAGGAGTTTAGAGTGTATGGGTGCAGCTCAGGGATTTGTTGGCTTTACTTGGAGATTCATGGGTCGTCCTAAGTTGTCCACTCATAGGCTATGAGCTAAGTCCCCTGAATTACTGTAGACTGTGCCTGTTAGCTGTACCACTTAAAAACGCATTCCAAACTAAGTAGTGGCGGCCGGCATGGCGGAAGGGAAGTATGTAGCAGCTTTTGAAGGAATTGCATGTCACAGGATTTACTAGGGAAGAGGACGCAGGGCTTTCTGCGAGGATAAGAAAATCTACGACAAACAAGATCTGCTAAAAGTTGGGGTCTCTCCGTCTGCTCCCTTCAAGAAAGGATCTGGGTATTTGGGGAATGCGTGGGGAACCCAAATCAGCAGAAACTCACATTGCGGTGTTTCAGCCATGGAGCGGAATGTCTGCTCCTACCGTTCGGTTCAATTCATCATCGAAAGAGTCGTAGCCCTGCAGATACACATTCCTGGGTTGCTGTTAAGGAACTTAAATTAAGTTACTATATTGGGGAAACCCTTTTATTTACTATATATATATACCCATTACGGTAACTTAATTTAAGTTCCTTATCAGCAACCCAGATTCAGCTTCTCATACCGCTGCATCGTCAGATGATTCTCGTCCACGAAATGATCCTTCCAGGCCTGCTCAAAAAACACCTACATGTGATGAGGGTAGGGTTTAGGGTTTAGGGTTTATAGGGTTTATAGGGTTTAGGATGGTATTGGGATAATGGAGAAGAAAATGGAAACTACTATATTGTACAGGTAACTGGGCTTCTGGGGTTTGATGAGTATCTTCAGGTAAGGTGGTTCCAACTTGGAAACTATGGCCTCCACATAATGAAACCTGAAATCCACGTGGAGCTTTCATGTCACATGTAGAGGGATCACTGCTACTAGAGTTGCAGGGTTCCGAATAGGAGTATCTTGAAGGTTTCACTTGGGACACTGGTAAAGAAATTGGAAACTACACTTTAGGGTTTAGGAACTATACTGAATGGTATGACCTTTTGGAAAAAGTTTGCCATGCAACTTTGACTTTCCTGCACCCTCAAACCTTGACCTTAACCTTCTTATCAGCCCTTGGCCTTTTTGGGCAGATTGTAGTCGCCATGATACGGTTTGCATTGGGTCACTCCCCCTGACTGTAAATGTTACCACAATGGGTTATAAAAGTTATAAGAACCCCCTTAATAAGGCCCCTTTAAGGACAGTTACTGGGAGGGCGAATGACCTAAGGTATACACTAGACATTCCGAGACACCAGGATTCCGACCCATGCTTCTGGGCTTGCCCCCAGCCCCCGCCCTCTGCTTGCCCGCCGCTTTGCGAGCGCATCCGCAGTAAGATCGTCAATAAGTACATGTTCACAGACGCAAGGACGCTGGGTTTTACAGCATACAAGCGAATGCAGGCCCTGACCCGTAGTAACGTCCACCACGGCCCGGCACGATAACAACGTGCAGACCGACCGCATGAACGCCACAAAAACAACTTAAATCCATTTGGGCAATTCATTGTAACCTTAGACCAATCTCTCAACCCCCAGTGGCCTTCGAAAAGCCATCTGACCAGTCGTACCAATCGATTCGGACCGCACCGGCTGCGATGATCTCACCGCTGGCATCCCTTTGAATACCTCTGGGATGTGTCAAGTTGATAAGTCATTGCATCAAGGTTATACAGGCAACCACAGATAGGCATGCTACATACGCCAGAGGTTTTCGAAACTGGGGACACCGTTTTAAGGTCGTTGAACAAACAAGGTACCTAGTCAAGTAATGATACTCGGAGACTGCACTTTGGATGAAAACCGCAGTCTGGTGTGGGAACCTGCAAACTCTTGAAGAGCTCTTGTACAGGGTGACAGAGCACAGCTCAAGGAGCACCGGTTGCCCCAATGCTTTTTGAACTTTGCCTTTTGGATTTAGGGTTTGGCCCCCAGGGCTCAGGATATCTGATCGGCAGGGATTCTTAGAAAGCTCCTTGAGGGACCAAACGTGTTTTGATTCGCACTCTGGGATGTATGCAATTTCTGCTTGGCTTTAAGCTGGGATTATATTGCGGCGTACATGTAACTGTGTTCCAGGTCCCCCTAAGCATCTCCGGTGATCACGAAATCCGCAAAGTCTACGTCTTAGGCTCATAATGCACACATCATGCCTAGCCGTAAGGGCTCACGGGTTGCGGTTTAGGATGAGGACTTGGAGTTTGGGGTACCGTTCTGCATCTGGCTACTTACAGCAACAAGTTCCTGTCATGGCCCAATGAGATTCATGCAACCACACATGACAAGATTGTTGGAACAACTGCTGTTCTTCTCACCTGTTCCATTTGGTACTTTCCCAAAATAGCTTCCCAACATAACAACGACTTGCTCCAATCCCATACCATGCTTGCATACGTAGCTGTTTTTGGAAACTCCTGACGAAAGTTCCTCAACACCACACCCTTAACACCAGGGTCCGAAACCCCTACACCCTGAAACCCAGCACTCAAAAGCGAGAACTCAAAACCCAGCCCCCCAACCCTGAGATTTAAACCTGCACGAAGCTACTGAGGAAGGAGGAAGCCTTGCACCACCTATAAACCTTGCAATCCAAGAACTTGTAGCGGTTTGGATCCAAAGCGGGCAATTAACCAAACCTTGCCTCCCAAACCTGGATACTAACCCAGAATCCAGACCTGAAACCCAAACCCCTTATAGTCCCCCTTAAGTAGATAGAATATGGGGTACATGGGGATCTTATTCTAATATACCCAAAGCCATATTCTATCTACTTAAGGGGGACTATAACCCCAATGAAGAGTTGCCTCCCAGGCTATCCTCGGCAAAAGCCGGCCTAGAAGAAGGATAAGCTTTTGCAGGCTTAGGTTTTCGGGGTTTGTCGGGATCTAGGCTACAGGGACGAGGGTTCAGGATTTTGGTTGCGGCCTTAGGGGTTTGGGGTTCAGAGCGTTCGGATTTTGAGTCGGGCCCACGGTGCTGATATGCTTAACCAAGGGGTGTCCAAAGGCCACGGTATTGCTGGAGTGTTGCAGGGTGTTGCTTTGGACGGTTTTTGCGGTGTCCAATATGAGGCTTCAGGGAGTGGGCAAATCGAAGCTTCGGAGTTGCGAGGGCTTATAGGAGTTTGGAATTGCTAGATTGTCCCTCATTTCCTAAACCCCAAACCCTAAATCCTAAACCGAGATGGGTAGAAAGCCTTCTGTGGATAAACGCTCCCAAGCTGCTTGCCATCAGCAAACTGCGGCTGGTTCACCGCTCTGTAGATGTCTTCCTGCATCTAGCTGGGAATATAGTCCCGCTGAAGTATACAGAGCATGGCTTTGGGTATATTAAATTGTGAAAAGATCCTCGTATACCCCATATTCTATCTGTTTCAGGGGGACTATAACAAGGGCCTGAAATATGGGGTAATACTGGGGTTATATAGGGATAATGGAAAAATGGAAAGTACAAGGATTATATAGGGGTTCTGTGTCTAGCTAGGAATTACACAAGGGACTCGCATAATCCAAAACTGTACCTACAAGGTCCTGCAGGACATAGTGTTTCCCTTCCCAGTCCTGTGCAAGTGGCCTCGTTGCGAAGTAGCGCGGAACACCACCAATCAAGCAACCCCCCAGTGGTGAGGTTTCGCAGCTAAAAGCGTGGCTGGATGGCTCACCGTAGTCATTTATCCACTCGAGGCCTGGTAAAGCTTGGCATTCAGTTAGGCTTTCGGCGTTGTCGGATCCAAGTTCGCACTGTTTGGTCTAGACTTTGTACGTGTGCATCAAGATACAATTTTGGATCAACTGTTCCAACTGTTCCTAGAAGCTGGAAAAGTCTTTGAAAAACCAGCCCAGAGACTGCGAACATCGTCTATAATCTTCCATATCTCTGTGAAGGTGTCAAATTCCAGGATGTTGCCACCATTCTTTGTTGTCACAATGAGGTTGTACCCAGTGCCACCGCCGCTGGAAAAGAAGCCTTCTATCGACCTGCAGCGCTGGAAGCTGGCAATGTATTTAGGGCTTAGCGTCCGGGACAACAAAAACACAAACGCCAACACCCTTACATGTTTTGCATACTCATGTTCAAACCCAGCCCCAAACCATTCTGACAACAATTGAATGCCAGGAGGCTCGAGATTTTTCCTGGGCTCTGTTTCCCTCTCAAAAAGGAAGGTGTATATAGGGGTGAATAGAGATGTGTAGAGGGTATGAGATATACGAATGTGGAGTGTTGTGCTGTATATCATGGTACAAGCATAAGAGGATCATGAGGATAACAATATTGCTGGTACACTTTTTGGAGCTTTTTGGGACTTGGTAGCCACCTAAAGCTGCGGATGTAACGGTAACGACACTTCTGGGGTAACTATATTACGCCATGCGCGGGGATTATGACTAGGATTCCATGCCCCTGTCAAAAGAAACTACTCGCGAACCTCCAAGTAGGTTGCTGGACCGACCCTTGTAGCTGTCAAGATACAAACCCCGAACCTTCTACAAGCCAAATGCATTCCCTAAGCCTAAACTTAAACCTTACCTGCTCGATAAGGCTAAGGGCTGAGGCCTAGAACCCTTAACCCTGAAGCCCGAAACCCCAAACCCAAACTAATCCCCCAACCAAGTGTCATCTGTTGTGAATGCTGATCCACCCACAAGGCTCGACTGCCCGACTCCGACTCAAAATTCATCATGCCGGCGGCAAAGGCCAGGCAAAGAACCAGGGACACGGTAATGCATTTCCTTTCTGGTGAGACATGGGGGTTTCCTAAAATTAGGGGTAAGATTTTGGGGGTCTCCATAATAAGGACTATAGTATATTGGGGTCTATATTGGGGTCCCCCTATTTTGGGAAACTACCACATAGGGATACTGTTAAAGGATTGTAGTTTACGTTCCTTGCTGGGTATTAATGCGATAAACCTTAGCCACTCTGTTCAACAAGGGCTCAGGTACGCGTGCTTCTCAAAGTGGGAGCTTCAAGGGACCCTACGGATGCTTACTTTAGTAATATTGGGGGAATATAGGGGTTATATAGTAATATTGGGGGAATATAGGGATTATATAGGAATAATGGAAAAGAAAATGGAACCTACTATTTATTGGGGTTTGGGGCTTCGAGTTTAGGTTCCGCCTAGCACCTAAACCCTACCCTAAACCTAGACCTGAGACCCCTCTCAGGAAGTATAGGTTAGGTGGCCCGGTCCACCCAAAGTATCAGACTAATTTTTGAAAACCTCTGGGATCACGCCTGGAATGGTATTGTAATGTTGTAGTGCATTTAGGTAGATACCTTAAGCCCATGGGATATAGGGTTTAGGGTTATAGAAGTTATATAGGGGTTATGTAGGGGTTATGTCAAGATGATGGAAGCGAAAACAGTAGCTACAGTTTAGGGTCTAGGGTTGAAGGTTTGGGGACTTAGTACGAGGAATTTGCAAAAGTCCCCCTAAACTCTACACCCCATATATCCCTACATGTCCCCTACAAACCCTGTAAAATGGACCCTATATTATAGGCCACTAACAGTGATCCAGTTGCCAAGGGTGTCGAGCGCATTTCTCACCGATGTACCTGAAAGTTTCTCCAACTGGGTGCCCCTGGTTTAGGTTGGTTTGGGTTTCGGGTTTAGGGACCCTGGGGAAATATGTGGCTTATAAATTGAGTATGAGGGCTCTGCCTTAGGATTAAGTAGGGGGTCCATAGATGGCACCCGCTCATGTACATATCCAACATGCTATGGTCCTAACCTTTAAGAACCGCAGAAAATTTGTGGAATGCCCCAATGGGTATCATTTTTTAACAACCCTAAATCCTAAAACCCTAAACCCTAAACCCTGTGGTCCTGAATCCGCGGCTTATTGCTGCCTCCGCCGTTCCTATCCAACGGGTCCAGGCACGAACTGGGGCTGCACAGCACTCCATGGCTTCTTTTAGGGTTTAGGGTTTAGAGCCTTGGGCAGAATAACTAAGATCCCCATATTCCCCGTATTCTATCTACTTAAGGGGGACTATACCTCTTTAAGGCCGCAGAATAATGTAAGCCCTTCGATAAAGGCCCAAGACATGAATAGAACCAATCCCTTACTTACTGAAAATGCATTATGATACCGTTCTGACTAGGACCTATACGTGGCATCTCGTTCTGACTCGGACACTTGAGCATAAGCACCTAGAAACACGCAAAGCATCACAGCGTTTGATCTCTGATCCATTCCCAGAAAGCCCTAAGCCCTAAACCTTAGGGGCTTTAGGGTTGATAGGCTTTGCAGGGTTTATTGGGTTTAGGGTATTAGGGTTTATAGGGTTGAGGGTATTAAGGTATTAGGGTCTATGGCGTTTGGGGTATTAGGGTTTGTTAGGGTTTGTATAGTTTAAGGTGTGGGAGGCAAGTTCTGAATTTAAAGCCTTGTGCATCAAAAGTGAGCCGGACGCAACATCCAGAGCACCATGGCAGCTGGACCGGCAATGTTAGGGTTATACTGGGGTAGTATGGGGAATTTGGGAAATAACATGGAAACCACTTTTGTACGGGACTGTAATGTCGTCTTCGGATTACAAAAGGGGGTCGTATTAGAGTGCTTCTCAGCCCGAACGGAATAATAAAAAGGGGGTCGTATTAGAGCGAAATCCGAGCTGAACGGATTAATAACAACCCAGGA